TCGGGACGGAGCATGACATATGGATGTTAGATGGTCGTGGTGTTAACAATTTAATGCAACCAACTATTACCATAAATTGGCGTCATGAGTGCTAGAAAGAGAAATGTGCAGTTCCTTAAGAATTACACCGGGTTCTTCACTTATTTGGGTTGACGTTATCTGTTATGAAATTATAAGCTTACGAGAAGTTTGGTATACAAAATAGTGGCAAATATTCTACTGAATGGACAAAGACATGTGTTGCGTGTTGTCACACCTATCATACCCACCCGGACCAATGGACCACTCATGCTGATCCACGTGGCGTTCCTACCGAGGTGGCATACATTGCCGAGGTGGGCTACATCCGAACTGCTTCGAGCCGAGGTCCATCCACCGAGGCACCACGATCCGACGTACTCTGCCGAAGTCCAACTACCGAGCCCCATGACCAAAAGCATGGAACATGTTGAATTTAGCTGAGGTCCTCAGATGGAGGTATTTGTCAAATGGTCGAAATCCCGAAGCTGATGCGCGAGCCTCCTAACCACAAGGAGTTTCCTCCACTATCACTTCTCCCAAGAGATCGCCTACTCAGAGATCTTATTCGAATGACTGATGAAACGTTTGTCACAAGCATAAAGATCAATTCTTGTCACTAGTATAAAAGACCTGCGCAAGCAATAAATGCGCCGTAAGCTAGCAAGTCAAGTCTCATGCCTAAGAACAGACGTTTGAACTAAGGAGATGAGGCCACGTGCCACTTCATCCAATGGCTCCCATTTCATATGTATCACTATAAATACTCACATTGTGTAATGTCAAAGGCTAAGGCAAGAATCAATACCAAAGACTACATTTACTCAACTCTCTCTCATTTACTTGCAATACACAAATCGAGTTTATACACTTTCATATATATATTTACAAGCACCGGTTGGTAATTATTGTACAATCGGATTACGAACAACCTGCCGGATTCTGAACGTCACCGTCCCGCGTCGTTGGGCTACTCCCACGCCCCTTTGAACCGCTCGTTTTAGACCGTCCATGTGTCTTAGCGTGTTGGACATTCGCCCACGCAAGCGCGGGTGGGACCGGCATCTGTTGGCGCACTTTTTGGGGTCAACAGATTGGCGCCGTCTGTGGGAAACCATACCATAACCACGAGCAACCTTGTGGTAAAAGCTTACTAAAAATACGTTTGGGCAACCCCCCTTGAAAAAGGATTTGTTCTTGAAAAAGAACAGGAGGAACCCCTATCACTTAGAGAAATCTAAGTTTGATAAAAGAAAAATGAGTTCTAACGAAGATACTCCCCCAAGGAGGGTAAGAGAAAGCACGAATGTGCCTCCCCAGCCTGCTGCCCCAGCAGCTCGGCCGAGGCTCCACCACCACCAAAGGAGAGGTGGGATGCGTGCGACAGCACGACTATCAAGAGAAATGGCTACCATGGCAGCCAACATGAGGGATATAGCCAACCAAAACTTGGCCATGAGCTCACTTGGCCATGAGGGAGCTCATGGCCCAAATGCAAGGCCAGAGTGGCTTCCCCATTCCTCCATATGCCCCCCACGGGCACTATCAGCAGGAGGACGAGGTCCAGAGTCATAGGGCTGCCTCGCCAGACTATAGCCGAGGTGAAAGCCCATTCGAGAGGGAAGTGAGAATCGACATTTCCTCCAACTATGCATCTGGGCGACCCACCGAGGTCCAAATGAGCCATGATAACTTTGCACCTCCATATGAGTAAGACCCAAGACATAGGAGAGCAGGAAGTGTTTTTGACAGAATCAGCCCTGCCGAACCAAGGCCCAGTCAACAGCAGGCTCAGCAGCCTCGAACGAGGCCACAACCTCCACCTCTGATGCCCCAGCAGCCGGAGAGAAGGCATGAAAATGCCCCCCGCGCTGTCCCGCCTAGAAGTAGGCCGCAGAAGAGGGAGGAAGAGGCTAGGAACCGGCCCGGACCCTCTCACCAACAACCAAGGTACGAGGCCGAAGACTACGACTCAGATGAGCAGCAGAGGTCCTGTGACTTGGACGATGATGATGAGAACCTGCCATTATCAAGAGAACTAAGAAATGCCCAGGTCCCAAGCCACTATATCATGCCAAAAATACCAAAGTATGATGGGAGAGGTGACCCAGAAAAGCACCTCAATGCTTACAAAACTCACATGAGCCTGAGAGGCACTACCCCAACCATAAAGTGCAGAGCATTCCATCTAACCCTCAGTGGAGCGGCTGAAATCTGGTATAGTAGGCTACCATCTGGGAGCATTCGAAGTTGGCCCGAGTTCAAAACTACTTTCTTGAAGAGGTTTGCAGTGAGCAAGGAAGGAGATGCCCCCATCCAGCGTCTTCAAGACATGAGGCAAGCGCATGGCGGGTCCTTGAAAAGCTTCCTATCCCGCTTCACCGACGAGATGACCTACTGTGTACAAGTCACCGACAGAGAAGCACTATCTGCATTGAGAGGAGGATTGAACATGAACACCCTATTCTGGAGGGATGTGCAGAATCAAGACCCAACCACCTATGACGCCCTACTAGAGATGATGAGAAGGGAGATAATCAATGAAAAATTGATTGAGCATAGGAACAGGGCAAGCAGAGGCCTCCCACCTCCTCAAAGACAGCGAGGTAGGGGTCCGACCTCCCACCTCATGGACTACCAGATAAACCGAGTCGGAAATAAGAACTCCGGCCAAGCCCTGGCCACCACAACTCTGAACGCGGTTCCAACCTTGGCATATGAGGATGTCAACCCAACTGTTGACCCACATCAGATGGAGGCCCAGCAGGGACCCCGTAGAGGAAGAGGCCGAGGCCGAATCGAACCGAATCGAATCGAACCCGACGGTTCTTCTCAAGTTAAATACCCGAACGGATATTTGAATCAAGAACCGACGGGTACAGTTCGATTCTTGGTTCTAGGCCAAGACCCGAAGAACCGAATCTCCGTAATTTTTTTAATTAATTTATTTTAAATAAGTAAAATTACTTTATTTTTTCTAAATAAATTTGTTAACTAGTTAATATAGTTCAAACCACAAAATATGATTTTCCTATTTCTAATATTCAGTTCAAAATCAACTTAATCAAATTGTCTTCAATTTTATCTAAATATGTTATTCTACTGTAGTGTCGTTTCTACCGGAGAAAATCGAATTAAAACTCTACAACATCTCTCTTAATTATTTTGAGATCGCTATCTTTCTCTTTCTATAATTTTAATAATCAAATTTATGAAAAATTCAGCAAAGAGAGACAAGAAACACATAAGATTGAACTACGTTATTTTGTAAAAGCTAATATTAAATATATCATTAATTGAATTAACGTAATTTTGTATATATTAAAAATTTTAATTATAATACGGAACCAAATCGGACCGAACCGAACCGAATGGAACCGAACCCGAACGGTTCAGTAATTAAATTTGGACCCGACGGTTCCACTTACTAAATACCCGAAAATTTCGGGTGTTAGAACCGAATCGAACCGGACAATGTCCAGCCGTATTCAAGTACCTTAATCATACTTTCACACTGAATGATTAAACATAAAACTATAAATTGTAACTACCATTCACATAAAACCAGTCAAATTTAGGTGAGCATTCACCATTCACATAAAATCGGTCACATAAAACTGAAAATAGAATAAATAGTCATATTCTTCTCAGAACCAGCAAATATTACAATATAAATTCGAATAAAAACCATAAAAATGTTTAAACAGTGAAAAATTTTAGCTACCTTAGGTTTATAAAATTTTTAAAGAGATCTTTTTCTCCCTCTGAAGATCCTTCTTCATTAACACTTTCTTTTTTCCCCTCTTCAACACCTTAAATTCACTTTCTCCACCCATTTTGTTTGAGTCAGGTGATGGTTTGCAGAAGTCGAAGTCAATGTCGGTGCAAGTTTGTAGAAGTCGAAGTCAGAATGAGGTGAGGTTTCTGCAATTTGGAGCTTTTAGGGGTTCGATGTTAAAGAGGTCCTCCGAGAGGAGACAGAGGAAGATGGTAAAGATTGTAAAGTGGGGAAAATGACAGAAAACAGCAAAGACGGAGGTTTCTCTTTGATTTTGGAATCGGATGTTTGATTGAGATACGTGAGAGAGGAGGTCTCTCTGAAGGGTGTTGAGGTTTAGGGATTTTAGTTAGGACATACTAATTACGGTTTATGTGCGGTATTCATTTAAGAATATATTCTAAAGAATTTTAAAGAAAAAAAAAAGGAAATTAGATTTTAAAGCTAATTTTTGGGGTCGACTCACGGAGAGTAAATGGAGACGAGATCAAGAACTGAAAAACTATTGACCAACTTTTTGCTAACTTAAAATGTCAAAACTTAACCATAATGTAATAATTGTAAACAAAATTATATGGTATCTTTGGGGGTGGCATAAGCATGTCAACCGACTAGATGTTTCAACATTTTCAAGAAATTTAGGCCTTGTTTGGACCACATTTTTTAAAAATTCATTTTATCCTAAACTCAATTTCAATAAAATAATTTTCATACTTAAATCAATTTTTTTTTTTATTTTAATCACTTGTTCTTTAAAAAATTATTATTACAAAATTTATTCTACGAAAAAATGGAGCCCAAACAAGCCCAGCTGCCAATACCACGAGAAGATGGTGTGGAATTGATGGGAGTGAGCCTGCATTTTCTGCTGGAGTTTCTCTTATAATTGGATTGGGTTTATTCTTCCTTAAACAATGCCAATTAGTTTGCTAACCACTTCCCAATTAATAATGTTATTGATTTGCCTCTATTTGATAATCATTATTTCAAAAATTCTTTTTCAACATATTCAATTTCAACTACATATATACAATAAAATATTTTGTACGTAAATTTAAAATATTTTCCTAATTTTAAATCTCACATTTTTCAAAAATTCATTATTCAAAACTAAATTTTACATAAATAATAATTGTCAAATGATTGTTCATCTACATTGTAGCAATGTCACATCATATTATTTAACGAATTATAAAAGCATTTGTAAACATTAAACAATGTATCATCGATCTCACTATCACATTAACGGATGATCACATTAAATGGAAAATTTCCATGGAATCCACCTGGCTAAATAGATACTACATAAAGTGCAAACTGCTACATTGATATTGTCTTTTTAACAAGAACGAAGCAAACGAATTTTGGTACTTAACAAACTATAGAAATGAGGATTTATTTTTTCTTTTTCTGCTTCCTAGAATACACCATCCCCCGGATCCCATCCGGATCTGCAACAAAACCCATGGGCCTATAGAAACCCAAAACCCGGGGCTCAGAATACAAAACAATATTGGTAATCCCCTTCTCTAACAGGGCGGTGATGAGTCTCTCCATCACAGCCTTCCCCAATCCAATCCCCTGGAAGCTCGGATCCACAACCACATCCCAAATTATCGAATTAAACACTCCATCACCTGTTGCTCTAGCAAACGCCACTGGCCTTTTCGTCTTTTCGTATTCGACCCACAGAAGCGCGTCCGTGTGCTCCAGCGCCAACCGGATCTTGCCGGTGTCGCGCCGCGGGAATCCGACGGCGACAAAAACGGTGTTGAGTTGGTCGACGTCGAGGTTGTCGATCGTACGGTGGATAGTGAATCCTCGTGACGACAGTGATTCGTCGGAGATTGAAAAGTTTGTTGCCGGGGGTGGTGCATTCCGTTGTTGGGCAAAAACAGCGGTGTTTTTTGAGTGGTGTTTGAGTGTAGGTTTTATGGGTATCAATGGCGTACGCAGAGCAATGGAAATTTGGTTATGAAGAAGCATTTTCTTCTTCTGCTTTTTTTTTTTTTTTAATTTGATTTTGAAGATTTAAATATTTATAATTATTATTAATGAAGTGAAGGAAAAGAGGTGTAAATCTTGTGGTTCTCATGCGCTTTTCCTAGCCTGAGAAATTTAGGCCTCATTTTTTGGATTTATTTTTTTGTTACAATTACAAAAAAGGGTTTATTCTTTGAAAAGATCGTGAATCATGCAAGAACTACAGATTATTCTGTCGAGGTTAATGAATTGATTGAATTATGGAAATATTTCATAAATAAAAATTTAAGTATTACACATTTCAAAATCAAAAATTCAAGTTTCAAATTTCAAAAATTAGATTTTTATTAAAACTTATTTATGATTTAATGAATGAATGAATTATTTTATTAATTAAATATATTTAAATCACATATCTATAAAATTTTATCACAAATCAAAATTTTAGGTAATAGATCTATACAATTAATTAATTATTTTTTGGTCACAAATCAAAAAAATTTATGTCACTATTCAAAAATTTTGCAAGTCACATTTTTGTTCATCGATGACAAATCAAGAAAATTAATTAATCACAGATTAATTTCTGGTCACAACTTACTTTTCGATCACAAATAAAAAATTTTATAAGTCACATATTATTTTTCGATCACAAATTGTCAATTTTATAGGTCACAGATTATTTTTCGATCACAGAATCAAAATTTTTATTTGTCACAACTCATTTATTCATTGTAAATTATTAGATTAATTTGTCACTATTAATTTTCGGTCACAACTTAATTACTCGTGAGTAATAGCCACAATATTTAGGTCACATACTACAAATTAATCAATTATTAATCACAATCAAATCACAAGCATCAAATCTCATCTCATCTCATCCCTCCCACGACCACCACCACTATCTTGGCAACCGCCACCACTATCATCATTACCGTCACTAAACCACAATCGCTGTCCAAATGCCAACAAAATAATCACCCCAAATTTTTTTTTAAAAAAATCGCCCAATCACCCATGACCATCGCCTCGATCTCACCACCACAACCAACATTACAACTACCAACTCACACTGCCTCCCACCCAAAATAGTTGGTCAAAAACTCATACCACACAATCACCACAACTGTAACTGCTAGCACCACACCATTGCCTTCGCTAACACTATCATCACCATCGCCACTGCAGTCATCACATCACTACCATATCATTTCCAAACCACCAAAAAAAAACCCCAAAATCACTGTCCATGTGTCCTGTCTTTTGCTGATTAGATTAACCCATTGCAACACCGTTGGCCACCATATTTTCAATATCACCTCTCCAAATCAACAAACAAATCACCAAGAGCCTCCATCAAAACCATATCTGTCCACACTTAACAAATCAGAAAATTTGTGGGTCAAATCTAGCCGAATCAGTTTGGGTTCAGTTTTTAACTGGATTAATCGCTCCGGGTACCCTATTGGCATATCCATTCTTTTGGACTTCGAAACTGTAGAGGAAGAGCACTCCATGTCATCTCTTTCCTCTCTATAACATTTATACATCAAAATCTCTCGTTCTTAAGCTTTTGATGTATAACAATAATCCCAATTTATCGATCAAAATGACCAAATCCTCACATTATATTGCACCACTGCAAGGAAGCACTTCTCGAAGCTTTGGTTGTTACCAGCATCGTGCTAACAAATAGAGTCGTCTGCAGTAGCGTCGTTTCCGGCAGAGAGAGAGACGAGAATATAATTTTGTATATGATTTATGAAATAGAATTGCATTAGATTATGTAATTTCCACTTGAATTATTTAGGCTATATTTGAGCCTTATTTACTTAAAATTTATTTTTCGCTAAATTATTTTTTATTATATATTTTTTCAATAAAATAATTTTGCATGTAAATTGAGATTTTTTTCTTACCTTTTAACCTCACACTCTCCAAAATTCACCGTTACAAAATTTATTTTTCACAAAAAATAGAATTAAATAGAGTCTTAATTTTCTTTTAAAATTTTAGTTACGTAAATTAATATTTAAAATAGCATTAGTTTCAATACTTTAATGTCTCGTTTAGAGAATTCTCAAATGGTAACAACAATGAACACATTTTTTTCATAGGATTATGACATGTATTACCACCAGTGCGAAAATATCACCATTTGTGACACAAAGATTGTATTAAATATGGTGTTATGAGATCTATTTAATTGGACTTACAATGTGCTACCGCATAGGGTGATAATTTAGCACCAATTATGATATATAACATTAATCTTTTTTATAACGCTGTGTAGTGTAGTAACAAATCAAAACCTATAAAGTGGCTCGGGTGCGTGATTTAATGCAATGGTATAGAAAATGGACTTTACCATTTGTACATTGAATTTCTACACTTTGCTTGACACTTGTATTGATGTCAAGTGTCAATTGAGTAAAAAAATTGTTTGAAATTTAAAATGTCCATTTGGGTAATGCGACGTGGCAAAACGTGTGTACATGTAGCAATGTTCATAGAAAATGTCCATATGTCATCTCGGTACTCTTATTTTTATTTCACATCTTCAACTTTTCAACTCCTTAAGCATAGTCAGGTTGTCATCGAAATTCTAAAATATCCTTGGTACAACAACTAACATGGTGTCTATGATAATAGCTAGAGTGCAATTGAACACAATTCTTAGAAATTGACATATTTTGTCTTAGCTTGTGCTTAATTCATGTGTTAATCTAGTATTATGTGAAATTCTGTGAACATTTCGAGCACGTATTCACGATCATGTTACCATCTTTTCTACTTATAGAAGGGTTATTCGTATCAAGTCGTTCTTAGATTAGGTGAGCTTACGTTATGGTTGTACGTTTAAGAGAGTCGGTGGTTTTGTTTTCAAATCTAAGACAACGGATTTTACCTGAAAATTCTAAACTAAGCATTGATTTTGTCTCCGATAATGTTCCTAACTACAGTCTCAATATAAGTCATTGCATGGTCAAGCTATGCCGGTCGGGAAAAGCTAAGTAAACTGAATCTTCTCGAGTGAACGGATTAGACTGATTTTCAAAGTACTCTCGGAGCAAGTAAGACATGTTTTGGGCGCAGGTACAATACTTTTATCTCAAGATACAAAGAAAGAGCTTTACACTTACAGCTCAATAACTAAACTTTGAAACTATAAAAATATTAACATATAAGGCTATGAGAGTTCAATAACCAACTTTTCAAATCACGTAATTTTTTTCTTTTCACCCATTACAAACTAAATCATCTGGGGCCGGAGAGTTCCATTGCTTGAACAAGCAGAGAAGAGTCATCCGTAAGGTCAGAATATCTCTCTGAAGAGGAGAATTCATTGGCTCTGCACCTTGTAGACTCTGCTCTTTGAGAAGCTTCCCACTTTTCTGCAAGCCCGTCTCCCTCAAGCATTCGAACTACTTCAGACATCTTTGGCCGATGGCTTGGAATATACTGAGTACACAATAGGGCAACTTGCACCATTTCCTCAAGTTCTATTCGATCATAATTGTTCTTAAGATCCTTGTCAACCAGCACATCAAGCTTCTTTTCTTGGTGAATTTTCTTCACCTGTGACCATACACAATCGGTTTGTTACAGAACTTTGTATTAGTATTTTAGGTAAGGAAAAAGAATGAGTTGCTTACCCACTCCAGCATAGCCCCTTTCTGGTTTGCTTGCTTGCCAAACTCTAGAGCCCTCTGACCTGTGATCAATTCTAGCAGAAGAATTCCAAACCCAAAAACATCTGTTTTCTCTGAGGACTGGCCTGTGGATAGATACTCCGGAGCAATGTGCCCTACGGTGCCCCTAACAGCAGTCGTGACGTGTGAATCCCTGTGGTCGAGAAGCTTTGCCAATCCAAAATCTCCAACCACGGCCTCATAGTAATCATCAAGTAATATGTTTGCAGCCTTTACATCCCTGTGAATGATCTTGGGGTCACATTGTTCATGAAGGTACAGTAAACCCCTAGCTGCACCTAAGGCGACACGTTTCCTCGTACCCCAGTCCAATGGTGGTGTGGCTGCAAAAGACGAGAAATAGACACGATGCTTTTTAGGGATTAAGCCATAATCCTAATTGCAAGAGCAATAGTGAATGAAACAAAAACAGAAACACACTGATCTATATTAGTTTCCCCTCAATGTGAGAAAATGGGATGGCTACCTTTGAGACGGGAGGCAACACTTCCATTGGACATGTAGGGATAAATCAAGAGTTTTTCGGTAGGTGTCAAGCAAAAACCATACAATTTGAGGAGGTTTCGGTGCACTGCTAGGCTGATCATCTCGATTTCTGTTTGAAATTGGATCTCGCCCCCATTGTTATTGCCATCTTTGAGCCGTTTTACTGCTACTACAGTTCCATCTTGGAAACAACCTTTGTAGACATTTCCAAAACCACCCTTTCCAAGTATGTTCTTACTGCTGAAGTTGTTTGTGGCAATCTGAAGTTCTCTAAATTGGAATTTTCTCAAGTTTCCTAGGCATATTTCTTCATGATGTTGTTCTGAAAATTTTAAAGAACTGCTTGTTTATGGAAAAAAACAATGGGATGTACGTTCGAAGGTTTTAATGTTCGAATAGCTATTCTGTACTTACCATTAATGTCGAAGAATATCTGCTGGTTGTGTTTATGTCTCCACCAGAGAAGGAAACCAAACCCAATAATCAGTAGGCAGATGCAGCCAAGGCTTGATCCAAAGGCCAATGCAACTTTGTGACTATTTGGCCTTCCTGATGGCTGCGGATCTTCATGAGAAAACACAAATAGTTAGAATGCAATGTGATTTGCCGGAGATAGAGAAAGACAGACGCATTGGTGCAGTTCCAATAAGAAATTTAGAAATTGAAACATGGAATTTTTGAAGCACTTCAAACTCTATTAGAAGTTAGCAAGGATATGATAACTTGTAAAACCATACTTTGTGAATTATTCAAAGCGAATGATAGAGGAATTGGTGCAGTTCCATTGCAGGCTGGTTCTTTCCCAGTTGCACATATCAAAGGATTTCCTAAAACACTGCGCGGTAAGGGGGAAAAAAGGAATAAACAAATTAATCAAGAAACATAACATCTTATATTCTAATAAAGCAAAATTGAAATCTGAAAAATTCCAAGAAACTTACTTGAATGTTTTTGCAAGAAGCCTTGGTACTGGCCCACTCAAATTATTGAATGACAAGTCTCTGAAAATTGAAACAGAACTCAAATACCTTCAGAATAGAATATTGTAATAAATGCATTTATTGTAAGCAAATCGATCGAGAAGATTACAGAAATGTCAGCTGAGTCAAGTTTCCCAGAGACAGAGGAATAGCTCCAGTGAGACTGTTGTTATTCAACCTCCTGTATTAATTTTAAAACCCGTGGTTAGAATTCAAGCATAAGTGCTCCTAGTTGAGTGCAAAAGCATAATTGAGGAGCTAAGTGGCTGGTGCTTTATCTTTTCTTCCCACATACTTCTCTCCTACAATGTTGTGTAAATAAGTGCTTACAGGTATTGGAGGCTCTTCAATTGAGCTAAAGAAGAGGAAATTTCTCCATGAAGCGAGTTATCAGAAAGATCAAGTGTCTGAAGCTTTTGGAGCCTACCCAACTCATGAGGGATTGGCCCAGATATCCTATTATCCTGCAAAAGCCTGCCACAAAACAACTTAGTATTAAATCTTCAGATAATATGTACTGCAATTAATCTTTCAGGCAAGCAAGACTGACAAAATTATACAGTATAACGATCAAAATTTTAGCCTTTTTTTGCTTCTTTTAACTGCCGAGTACTATCCATTTCCCGTACATAATATTGTTACTACTCACACGCTCTGAAGGTGCGTCAAATTGCCAATACTACGAGATAATTTGCCAGACAAACCTTGGCTTGGAATTGCACTGCAATATCAGCAATTCAATTATTTCAGATTAAAATATGCAGAAATGTGAAATTTCTCATAGACTTTATTGTGCTAAGATCTGGAAGTGATTTGCTTACAGTGAAATGACTAGATTATCTCGAGAACAACCCACCATGCTCCAGCTACATGGATCAACAGCATTTACATCCCAATTCAGAACTCCATGAGGGTCATTCAAAGAATACTTTATATCCATCAAAGCTTGCACTGTGAAGATTTAAATTTTAAAAATTGTATTTTAGTTAAAGTTGATTACTTCTTAAAGGACTAAAGAAATACAATACTATCCCAAACTCCAAGTGTGTGTTTGGTGTGTAGTACTCAAGCTGAATAATACAACAAACAAGATTTTATCTTATTTTTCGAAATCCTTTGTACCAAACATGCTACAATTGCAAGTTTGATACAACCTTTGTACCACACATGATACAATTGAGGTTTGATACAAGTACCGGAAAGAACTCATTGGTAAAATCAACAAGATCTTAGTTTCTTTCTCTTTGCTAATATTTTCCAGTGATATTCAATCTTCCCAGCTAAGTATGTCGTAAGAACCATGAAATTTGATATTCATGGGCACCCCAATATGATTTGATAAACTACTGCTGTGAATACTTTTTAAACTATATCAAGAAAATGAAAATTTTACCTTCAAAGTTGACACCATTTGGGGTAAGCAAAGCCCTTGCAGAAGCCCAGAAGCCAAAGAAAGCCACAAAGCATAAAACAGCTTCTTCTCTTACCATTTGAATATCAGAGAAGTTCAAAAACTAGTAATATGGGCTAAAAATAAGGTTGTTTTATAGGATCCACCAAAGTTTCTTCTGAATTATCAAACAAATATGTCACATGAAAACAGTACCATTCCTCATGCTTGCCACACCAAAAATTCACTGACTTACAGCTTCCGTTAGAGCCCAAGAAAATGCAGAGGGTTTTATTGAAAAAGTGAGGACTAAAATAGTATCTTGTCTGCCCCTTGTCCACCAAAGTTAAAAGAAAACAACGTATATAAAAGCAGAATTTTAAATTAACTAAAGTTAGATAAATTCAAACGTTGATGGGAAAAGAAAAGAAAATTCCATCAATTATCAATTTGGAGATTGGTTATAGGCTTCTTTATCTTTACGACAGAATTAAAAAATTTTAAGCTGTTGATATGCTGACTGTTAAGCACTATAAGGGAAAATCTAGTCAGAATTTCTCTTGTAGGGTCAGAAGTTTCTCACGTTTCTTATTTACATATACCGTTACATTTGTAAAGAAATATTCACGGGCGTGTTTGGATTTGCTTTGGGTGAAGAGTTAAAAAGAGGACATGCACATTGGGATTTGCTATGGTTTTGATTATGGCCAGTCATAATCCAGACGTTCCCTGTGTTTGTCATATCTACGTGACAAAATTAGGCTGTAAGAATCCGTAAGATCATGAAAATTTTCTATTTCTTTTTCCCTTTTTGTTATTTTTGTTTAATTTTAAGTTAAGGGCAAACTCTTTTTTTTTTTTTTTTTTTTTTAAAATCTACTTGTGGCAATTTGGGAGGGAAATTATTAGTGGGGATCATGACTGTTTACAAAGTGTTCAAGATGGTAATGTCAAGAAACAAACATAGGGATAAAGATGTAAAACGAGTATACGCCGAGGAGAACAAGTGAACAACCACCACAATTTAGGAAAGGGTTTTTATGTTGATTGACCTTTTTATTTTGTTGCATTACTTTTAATTACACTAAAGATCTCTAAATTTTCTTCATTATCACGCTTATTGGATCAACTTTTTTTGCTGTCATGTTTTTATCTTTAGACTTCTATTAATTAGCACAACTCGTCTCCAATAATGATTTTGGATAATATTGCTTTAGCATGCTTTGAAATTCTCTAATACTTTTATATTCGTCTTTTTCTTATTTAAAAATATAAGGGACAAATAAATCTTTTTATGTGTTTTCAACAAAGTTTTTGGACATAAATCGTCTTCATGGGTAAAAAATGTGCAAATTAATGAAATGTTGAATTAGAATATGACCAAAAAATTATTAAAGATAAATACGATAATGACTAAAGGTTAAAGACTTTACTGTAATTAAAATATGATTTATCAAAATAAATAGATTGCATCAATATAATTAGGTAAAATTATATAAATTGAAATAATATATATCCTATGATGTTCGACCCTTAAAGGTTAACATGATTTTAGTGAACAAATTAAGATGGTATACACAATAAATAAATAAAAAAATCCATAAATAAAATACTGCATATCCCCCAAATATAGGAGATTAATGCAAACTTTTGTGAGTTAATTAATGCTAATAAATTTTTAATCATTATGCGAAGACAAATGTTAATGAAAGAAAAGGTTTGAATCTCGAGACAAACTCGTGATGCAATGGTTCCTCTTTGATCTTTATCGAGTGAATAAATTCTCTCTTTAATTATGTCATACGTTGCCTTTGCTTTATTTGATGCCTAAGATTAAAGTAATTAAATTTTTTTTCCAAATACATAGTCAAAGGACAAACCAATCAATTGAACATACTTCAAAAAGGAACATCCAATATTAAAAGGCTGGATTATAGCACGTAAATAAATAAACACACTCTTTACCAGTTTTAGTTCATACTTGCTAAATTCAAAGTACACAAAAAAAAAAAAAAAAAAAAGAGAGAGATCGAGAGAAATATACTGGTTATTTTTCTTAGAAGTCACATTATTGTTTTTGTGAATTTTTATTTTGCATATTCAAGATCCTCTTCATTTTTAAAGAGCATCATATTCATAATAAAGAGCATATAAAAAGAGATAAAATTTTATACACTCCAACAATCTATTTATTTTAATTCTTTATTTCACCTTTTTAACAATCATTTATTATTTTTCTCAGTTTTTAATTATATCTATTTGTTACTTGGCAAATATTTAAATATAGTGTGAATAATTTTAAAAGTAGAGTATTGAACTTTACAGTTTATTAAGTATAATAATTATAAAATAAATCATTTAGAGAGCAAACACACCCATTATTTTAAAAAATTAAATTAAAAAGCACATTAAAATCTAATTGCAAGAGTTCATTATTTAAAGTAAAGATCATTTTGCATTTATTTCCTGTTTGAGCCCCATTATTTCCTCATTAAAATGAAAAATATGATCGTTATCTATCACATCAAGCCACCATATTTAACTTTTTATCTCTTGTGTGAGACTTATAATGACTATATTTTTCCTTATCATTTTTACAATAATGTGGTTCCAATGGGGGCTTAAAGAGTTATTTGAAGATACTCCTACTTGCAGTTTCAAGTTTCAACTAGCATTTTGAGATAATTCTTAAAAT